AGGGCCTGATATTGGACAGTTAGGAATAGTAGTAGCACACATCTAACTCCAGTGCTTGCTTAAGAGTGAGTGTTTATCAGTTTATCCTGTAACTGTGTCCTAAAGTAACTCGAAGTCCTTTCTGCCACGTGTCTGGCATTGCATAATTCTGTTTATCAAGCAGCAGAGATGGAACTTGCTGTTCATTTTTTTCCCCTACGTGTTGGGATCAAGGTAGTCTGCCAAGAAGGTCAGCATATCAGCTTTTTCTTGTTAGCAGGCCAAACAGAGCTTCAGTTTGGTGTTGAACATACAAAAATGTCTTCCCGAGCCCTACTCATGGTTTTTGCTTTTCTTTCTTCCCTTTCTTTGATTGCACAATCTGACCTATTCTGCATCTTGTTAGTAAATATATAGGTATATTTGGGGTTTGGGTGTTGAAGAGTTCAGTTCAAAGGGATGCAAATTTAACCTCTTTTTGCTCAATAGCTGCTGAAGTCCTACCTATAGTGGTTGTGATTCTATATTTGCATGTTCAAAGTGCTGTCTTCAAAATGAGCTGTGGTGAGAACAGTTTTAGAGTTAGGACGTTGAGGTTCTGCTTTGACCACTGCCATGGGCCAGTTGCCAAATCCTTTCTGTTCTCTGCCTGTCTCCCCTATTTAAAATTATTTTGTGCTTTTGAAGAGAGGATGGGGAAGGAAAGGAAAGGAAAGGAAAGGAAAGGAAAGGAAAGGAAAGGAAAGGAAAGGAAAGGAAAGGAAAGGAAAGGAAAGGAAAGGAAAGACTAAACTAGACCCTGCAGCCACTCTAGCTCATTTGATTTCAGTCTGTATAGTCCATTAGGAGTCCATGACCTGTATTTTACAAGAAAAAGCACTTTCTCAAATTTTGTCCAGATTTCTGAAATTTTGAGAGGAATCTGCACTTGCACTTGAGAACTTTTAGACTTGGCCACAACTGCACATAGGTGCTGAGTGTCCATTGCTCTAGACATAGCTGTCACCAAGAGACCAAAATGGGATGTTCTTTAAACAGCCTTGCTGGAATGAGCTACCAATCACAATCTGTCAGTCCATGGATTCTCCCAGGGTTTTCTTAGGAGCAGCTGCCTGCCCCTCTCTGTCGTGGGATGGACTTCTGGACTTCTGGAGCTGCTGAGGATTGTGATACTGAGGGTGGTGGGAAGTGCTGAGGGGAGTTGTGGGAGTGCCCCAGCAGGGAGATGCACATGAGAATCTGTGCAAAGCATTGTCACGAGAGCAGTGATGCATTTTGGAATGATGGTAATGACTTCATGGAAACATCAGATCAGTGGTAAAAAGGACAATAAAGGGAAAATGCTGGGATTAACTTGTAGAGGACTAGGGAGCAGTGCAGAGAAAAACTTCAGCCTGCTTCCCTTCTCCATGGGGCGCCTTCAACTCCATTCTCACAAGCAACACTGTAAAGCCAGAGAAGGTTCAGATGGTGATGGTCAGAAAAGCAGGAAATAGCTAAATAAGTTAGGAGTCATCAGCCTGGAAAAGGGATAATTTTGAGGGATTTTTCAGAGGTCTGAATACTGACGTGGAGACACCAAATCCATAGTTTGTCATCTTCTCCAGTGCAAGAATGATAGGATATATCCAAGTAGTGGGAGGCACCTTTCCACTGCTTGCAGTTGCACTGTCAAACTCCTTCTTGCAGGACATATATGAATGTTTGTATGTTCTTAATGGAGGATTGAACAATTTAATGGAAACAAAAATCCTTTCAGGAGTACTGAGTGAACAGAATCTCCATCTGGTTCAGTCTGTCTGTGCTTACAGGTGGATGGAAAGTGGTAACACTGTTCAGTCAGGATGTGATACATGCACATCTTGTACTTCTGCTGTCTCACTTCTTGAAGAGTGTCCTTGTCCAGGCTGAGCCCCTATCCCACAGGGACAGCCTTTTGAAGAGCATGTGGGTATCACCTCATCTCTGCCTTCCAGGTCACCACAGTGACTTCTGCAAGGACTTGAGTGCAAGTGGCACAGAGGTTAGACTGTCCCCAGAGAATTTGCAGATGCAGCAATGGGGAGGGCTTTCAGGAAGTTCTGATTCAGTCCTTATTAAAGCTCTGCTGGATTTTGTAGAGGAAGAAGCTGTTGAGTAACTGGAGGCTCAAAGGGTGTCGTGGGAGTCACGGAGGAGGCTGTAATATGCTGGACCCATTCCTAGGTGGCGATAGCAAATTGTTAATGATGTAGGAAAAGCCCAAGTTTTCAGGAAGTGTTTTGAGAAAAGTTGGAGTCTGTGTTTTCAAAACACATGTGATGAGTTACTCCTCACTCTTCTGGTAATCCAGGGTAATGCCAAATGCTTTCAATAGGGATACACTATTTGAATCAACAGGCCTCGATAACTTTGACCTAGAAGTACTAGAAGTGCTAATGTTGTTTTTAATTCAGATTATTAGGAAATTTCAGAAGATTGGCTGAAGCTGGCCAGTGCTGGAATGACTCGTGTGCTACTGCCCTCGTGTTTATTTCGGGCAGAATTTTAGGAATAGGGATCTGTTTTTTATTAATAAATAACTTACTGTTAGGCATATAATTAATGCCACTCAGCTTATGTTTACAGTGAGTACAGTAAGTTCACTCAAACAGCTCTGGCTTGTTGTTTAAGATGACCATGGTGATCTGATAAGGCTGACAGTGTAGATTTCAGGCCCCTGGTGTGGTGCCACGTCCAGGTTCAGCACTACGCAAGGTTTGAGTTGAAAAAGTAAACTCTGCATATCATTAGCAAAGTGCTGAGTGAGCGAATTTCCTTAACTGGTTATGTTAGTGGTTTTCTAGGGAGAGTAAGATTCAAAACAAACTTTTTCCAGGCATTGTTGCTGTATGTACCTCGTTTGTCATTGTCATCAAGGCCTTTATTTAGTCACTTTTCACTGGAGTTCACCACCACCATTGGTGCTACTGCAAGAACTGACCCTGAAGCTCGAGTCATAAAGGAACAGGAAGGTTTTTTCAGTTAGATCAGCTGTGATCTGTAGGTAATGAAACCTTTGTTTCTTACACTGCAGAACCAGTGATGTCTGCATTGGCCCAAGCATTTAGTGAGCTCATCCTCATGGTTGGACACGCTCTTGTATTTCTTATGGCAGCCTTACCCTGTACATGATGTGTAAGCACTTCACTTCTTAGATGTAACTGATGACAAGTTCTTGGTAGATGCTTTGTAATGCCAGGAATGTTTTGTATGCAGAATATCTAGAAGTTTGTATTTGGATTGTATTATGAGTAGGTTAGGAGATAAATTGATTTAAGTTATCATCTGAATTGTAACTTATCAACAGCTTCATTAGAGAAGTTCTAAATGGACACTCATGTAACTGGTCTGGTTTTGGGGAAACTAAAATAATAGATCACTGATGCCAACAGAGCAAATAAAAGGGATAGTGGAAAGGAGCCACAGTTTTAAAAATTCAAAAATATTTCAGTGATATTTTTACTGGATGGAGTCTTAACAGTGGAAGTTTGACAACAGACTCTAGAGCCCCTATCACTTCCTCCTTTGTTTTGGCAAGTCAATTTGGCATCGTTTTTGTGCTTGCTGAGGGTGCTGCCTGTGCTGTTGTCCCTGTCTTTCATGAAGATTTGAAACAGGACTGGTGCTACTGTCAACAGCTTGTTTGGAGCTGATCCGAGGGAAGACGGAGCTGACTCTTGGGACATCTCAGTCTGTTCCTGTTGGATGTGTGGGACCAAACAGAGGGAATTACTCACCATTTCTGAACTAGAATTTGCTGGGAGTCCTTCACGCCTTTCACTCCCAAACTTTGCTCTGAGGTCCAAAATCTTGGACTGTGGCATGTTTCAGTCTTGCTTCATTCCCTCACTTCCCATTGGCATTCATTTGGTGTGGTACAATAAAGGGGGCCTTAGACATGCACTGACTGTTTTGTGTTTTTCTGAGAAACCTTGAGCATGTGGGTGCTGATGCCACAGTGTTGTAGCACTATTTTACAAGATTAAATTTCTGGTGCCCTCGTGTTGTTAGTTAGTTTTGGAGGAAAATCCTGGCTCACAGAAGTGCTCCAGCCCACCTTTGCAGGGCTCTGTTCTCAGTGTGCTCAGTCTTTTTGTGCCTCATTGCAGGATGTGCACTTCCTGCACAGTCCTTGTGTTTCTTACACAGTCCCTTTGCCAGGGCCATCACTCCACATTTAACAGAACCTGCACTACCCTTGGGTGTATAAGGTCAGTAGATGGCCAAAGCACCTTCTTTTGCTTCCCTAAGGCTCCAGCCATGTCCATGTAAAACACAGATGTCTATTTTTAATGCTGTATCTCTTTCTGGTAGAAGTCTGTCTCACTGTGAGATGTGGCATTGATTGTGCAATTCAGAGGAACGCTGCAAATGAAATTACTGGGATATACAGAAAAGAACAAGTGGGCAGGGTGCAATCCCTGAGCCCAGTGTTACCCTTAGCACAATGCTACTGGCAGGAGAAATAAAAGATATTGCTACTGGAACTGACCACTTTGCATTGAACTCCCCTTAGACATTTGAGGGTTGTATTTTAAGCTGTCTGCAGAACGGGAAATATTGTATCACAAGGGAAACATAGAAATCCTTATCAACTGTTAGAAGGGAAATACGGATTTGAGGATGCAAAAATCTCTATTTAGTACACCTATGACAGCACTTACAGACAAAGCTGCAAATATCTGAGATTTATTTTGCTAAATGCTTTCGCGGGAAGATTTTGGTTTTGGGAAACACGAGTGTTTTACAGAAGGAATTTGTTTCACCTCAGGCAAGATAAAAGAGAAACAGGTTGAAATGCAAGCGATGTGTTCTGATTAAAGACTATTAATTTATTTTCTGTTACCAATACGTGAAAATTAATACTGGGATGAATAAGGAATGGGAATCAAATTGTAAAACTCCCACAGAAAATGGTGTCCTGAGAGCTGTAGTAGTTCCATGTGGTTCTGCTGAACTGGCTTCACTGCTGTCCTGTTCTTTTGCCTTGTCTTTTGCAGGATGGGATAAACATTCTTATGGGTACCACGGTGATGATGGGCACTCCTTCTGTTCCTCGGGGACAGGGCAGCCCTACGGCCCCACGTTCACCACTGGAGATGTGATTGGCTGCTGTGTCAACCTTATCAACAACACCTGCTTCTACACAAAAAATGGCCACAGTTTAGGTAAGTGAAGGAGGGTGTTCTCAGGAGAGGGATGCTCCAGCCCTGCTCTCACTGCTCTTTAACACTTTGCTTGTATTGTAACTCTTGTCCCACACCTGTGAGTAAGGTTTAAATGGCAGAGGAAAAGAGCACTCAGCAGCTGTCAGCAGTTGTAAATTGGCTCCAAGACAGAAATACTTCCAGCAGGTAAAATGGTTTCCATGCTGCTCAGTTTGTTTAGATAAGTTAGAATTTCATCCACAGCTTCTGCTTTTCTCTGCTTCTGCACAGTAGGTGGGAAGTTGGATAAGATGTCCAGTGGCTGGACAACAGGGAAAGAAAGAAAGAAAGAAAGAAGTGGGAAGTTTAATCAGGTACCTCCAAAGCCATGGTACTGTTTTCTTCATTCTTGAAGGGACTTGTCCATCTGAAAGCCTCAGCACATTGGTCTGAGCATTCCCAAAGCCAGATATTAATTCAGCACAAGAGATCTTACTGAAGCACTGAGCTATAATTTAGTTCATTCCACACTTATTTCAGTAACTGTCTTAAAGTTAAGGACTTAAAAATTTTGCCCCAATTAATATCTCAGATGTTTTCCAGGCATCTGTCGTATCTTATTTGTCTAAAATAGAAATTTTTGGCCATTTCCCCTTAAAATACCTTTTTGTTGGATGACATGCTCTCCACCTCAGATAAATTCTTGTATTTTTTTTTAATTATGTAAGATGTGCAGTAAGTTTTTCTAAGTTCATCTCACTTTTTGTGCTGGGATTCATTTGATTTGGCAGGGAGGGACAAGCACTCCTTTCCTTTGCTTCTCCTTGCTGTGTCAATTCTACTTTGTTGAATTCAAAATTAAATCGGTAGAAAAATGCCAAAAATATCGTGCTCAAAACACTTAACAGAGCAAAGATGTTTTGAGTTCCTGGCTGGGCTGAAGGAAGGAGTGGGATTGGAGTGCAGTGTGTGCCTGGAGAGTGCAGAATTTCTGGTGAGCTCTTGGGAAAAGTACTGGGCTCCCCAATATTAGAGAGAGATGGACTTACTGGAGAGAGTCCAGCAAAGGGCTGCCAAGGTGATGAAGGGTTTGGAGCATCTGTCCTAGGGGGAAAAGCTGGAGAGCTTTTGTTGAGGCTGCCCATGTCAGTCCAGTACTGGTAAGACAAGTAGAGACTTGAAAGCAGCAGCTGATGGTGTAGAGCAGGAGGTTTTGCTTTAGACAAGATAAAACAACAGCAACTGAGGTAATGAAATAATTTCACAAAATGTCTCCTTTTAGTTGCTGTCCTTGATTCTTAGCACATATCTACACAGAAGCCTTGTAGTGCTTTGTGCTGTGCTCCTCTGGATGTTTTCTGTTGTTGAAGTGGGTGGTTTTCCAGCTTCACTTTTTTCACCTTGATGGTGCTGTTACTTTTCATCATAAAAAAAGTGTGAGAGTCAGGAGAAGGCCAGGTCTTCTATTTAATGAATACAAGCTTGTTCATTTGAAATATAATTTCTTTCTAACGACCAGAATCTCCACAGTATCAGTTGAAAAGTTGCAGCTTTCTCCTTCTCTGTTCTGTACCCAGGATTGTGTTGTGCCTGGGTGTCTGGGCAGATGAAGCCAAATAAAGAGCCCAGTTCAGTAACTTCTGTGTTACTTTTTGTGATTACCACCCTCTGATTCTTTGCCTCATGTCCTTGCCCAGAGATTTGTTTGGGACATGCAGAGTTCTTCACAGCAGTGAAGTTATCTAGTCTTCCTTTCTAAAATTTAAGTGTTCCTTTTCCTTCAAAGATGGGGCTTTTTTGGATGGAAAGCTCATGGTTTTCTAATCTGACATTGAATGACCCCTTGAGGAGCAGCCTATCCTAGTGGTGAGCAATGCCAGTGGGAAGAAACAGGAAATGTAACAAGAAAGTTACCAAGCTTAGAGAACAGCTTTAGTTATAAGCACTGCTGTCACCTGGGTGTCCTCTTGAGCTCTTCAGATGTGCAGTACAAGACATGAGAAGGGGACAGGTAGAAGCCTCCCCTGAGCATTCACATCTGGCTCCTGTGTGAAGCAGCTTTTGTTTGAGCTGTAGTGGCACAATGGTTGTAGTGAGAGAGGAGAGATGGTGTGGTTGGAGGAGGGAGGGATGGAAGTGCAGACCTCAGGCCTTGCTGGTGACCCCACAAAAGCTGCAGGAACATTTTACTGCCTTCTTACGAAAGCAGTGATTTATTTGTAAGTCATAATGCTTTCTTCCCTGAAAGAAGCAACTCCTTGAAGGTCTTGAACTTCCATGATACTTAGTGCTAACCTGAGAATCTCATTTCTGTGTTGTGTAAACCCAAGGTTTATCAGGAAGGGGATGAATGTGTTTTTTATGTTCCCTGACATAAAGCTATGGAAGCATGTATCCCTCCTCCTAGGAGATGAGGTGATTGTGTAATTCTGCTGGAGATGCCAAGAATATTCATGAGACTGATCAGCCCCTTTGTGAGGCCAGTTAGCTCGAGAGCAGGGTTTCAGAGTTTGAATTTGTCTTTCTTTTAATGGAATTACTGTAGCTTTGTCTTTCCAATTCACTCTTCACCATTTAAGTCCTCACCTTTTCATCTATTAATTAGACACCCCCCTTTTGTTTTCCTTGCAATTTCTTCTGTTGCTTAACTATTATCTTCCATTGTCTCCATACTTTTTCATTTAATCAGATCCATCAGGAGCACTGTATAAGAACTGTTTTCTTGGCCATCACAAATTCTGGATGTTCTGATTGGAGCTAAGTCTTGAACTTTATTTGGAGACGTCACATGAAAACTGTTTGACATCGTATGTAGTCTTAATTCTCTGTTCTGGAAAATGTCTTGAATGTCTTCTGGCTGCTGATGAAACACTTTTGACAAGTTCTGAGCAGAGTCCTGGCAGTAAAAAACATAGTGAGATGTTGCTAGAAGTGTGATGAGAATGAATTTGGAGAGAAAGAGGGAGAAATGTTGAGGCACCAGCCATTAAACAGAAGGTCTTGGACCAGGACATGAGGAGGAAATGTGACTGCTGCAGGTCTCTGGGTTCAAGTGGATGAGTTTGCTCAGGGACTAACGTAGCAGTGTCTCAGATCTCAGAGTCTGACAGCAGACCAAGGTAAATGGAGCAGCAGGGCTATAAAAAGAGCATGCAACCCTCTGAAGTCTTGGCATAGAAAACTTCCCGTAGTTTGAGTTCTAGTGCAGGCTCTTGGAACAACCAGCTTAACCTAAAAAGTAAAATATCCATTGTGCAGCCAGTTTAGAGACTAGGAGGAACATAAGGGGTAATGCAGAAGTCTGTTGTCAGAGACATGCAGGTGTCAGTCCCAGATTTAATGTTTGACCTCAAAGCTTCAAATGAAGTTTGCAGAGAGCAAGAGCATTGGGATGTTCAAAAGAAGACTTCGAATTAATGGAAGTTAAAATCATAGAATTCTGGAATAATTTGGGTTGGAAGGGACCTTAAAGATCATGTTGTTCCAGCCCCTTTGCTGTGGGCAGGGACACCTTCCACTAGACCAGGTTGCACAGAGCCCCATCCACCTTGGCCTTGAACACTTCCAAGGATGGGGCAGCCACAGCTTCTCTGGACAACCTGTGCCAGGGCCTCCCCATCCTCATTCACTACCAAAATGAACAGAAAACAGGAGATTTGGCTACAGCCTTGTTCTCTGTGTGAGCAGTTTTACCCAAGTGGCCTGATTGGAGGATATCTGTTTCCAAGGGCATGTGTGAGTTTGACAGTGCTTCTCCTCAGCAGCACATTGGAGAAGTATTCAAGTATTTTCCTGGGCTGGCATTTCCTAGTTGCTCTTTAGGATGCCCACATTGCTGAATGTGTTGTGTTTATTGCAATCCTCCAGCACTGCTTAAAGATTCTCTGCATCACAGTTGCCTCAACAGATGCTGAGGAGAACCCTGCTGTGCAGGCAGTGGAGTGCTGTGGCTGATCACCCAAATGTATGTTGTCTTGTGCAAATTGAATTGTCTAAGTGGCCAGTTGTGAGGCAGACAGCATGATTGTTGCTGAGTGAGATGGGCTGGAAGGTCCACAGACACTTTCTGTGCATGGGGTCATGTGTAAGTGCACTTCAGTCATGGAAAGTGGAGTCCTTGGTTTGGTTCACAGGTGAAGATGTCAATCACATTGTGCCCCAGCACTGAACCTTCATTTAAAGTCTTTGTATCACTGCCTTGGTGATCACATTAACTTCATGGACTTAGAAGGGAGGCCCTTCACACACTTGCTCTTGCTTCCTGACCTCTTGATTTATCCAGTCTAAGTCTTTAAGGAGATTGTGTTTTTAAACTGGATCCATGCTTTGGAGGGACTGCAGAGAAAGAAAACAGTTTAACATTCAAGCTGTGATTAATTCACTTTCTGCTGTTGGCTTTCCTGGATGCAGGTGTGTAGCAGTGCAGATGCAGAAACTCCAAGCAGACATGTCTGTGCAACAGAGCAAGTACTGTGTGCATAAAGCATTTTATTAGTCTGAGAATGTGAAAAACATACATTTGTCTCATTGTAAAGGCAACATAATAAGTATATTTATAGAATCATAGAATTATTTTCTCTGGGAGAGATATCTGGAGGTCAAGCATCCAACACCCTGCTGAAAGCAGGCCCAAACTAGATCATATTACTGAGAAACTCATCAAGTTTTACTGTCTCCAAGAATGGAGATCACCCTGGGGGCTTTTTTGGTCCTGATTCAGTGTTTGACCAAAATTCCTACTGAATTTTTCTAATTAGAATTTTCCATGTTGCAGCTTGTCTCTGTTGCCTCCTGTCTCCTGCACCATGCATCTGTGAGAAAAGCCTTTTTTATACCCTCCTATATCACAGTTGTATGCAGCAATTAGTGTCTGCCTTGACGTTTTTAAGAGTGAACAGAGACTTTGCTCTTGGTCTGTCTTTGTCTTGCTGGCCTCTGCTGGACTCACTCCAGTCTCACTGTGTCCTGTATTGGGGAGCCCTAAAGTGAACATCATAACCAAAGTGGAGACTAACAAGTGTTGGGAAAGAAGGGAGAAATCCCATCCCTGATCCTACACTCTCACTAATACAACTCAGGATGGGGTTGATCTCCTTTGCTGCAAGGACCCACCTCTGGCTCCTGCTCTACTTGTTACCCAGCAGGACCTTGAATCTTTTCTGCAGATCTTTCTCTCCAGTCAGCCTCATCCTGTCCTGTTTTCTGGGAGTACCACAGCTTGGTGGCAGGGCTCTTAGGTTGCTTTTGTTGAGCTTTGGGAGGTTTGTGCTGGATCATTTCTCCAGCTGTAGCACTGTGCCCTCCAGCCTATTGTCCACTCTGCTGTTTGGTGGCACCTGTGAGCACAATTCATCCCATTGTCCAGGTCATTAGTGAAGACATGAAACTGTATTGGCCCTGCTATTGATCTCTGAGGGACAACTCTTGGACTTCGAGCTGTTGATCACAACTCTTCCATCCTGACAGTTCAGCCAATTTTCCATCCACCTTGTGGTCCATTTAAAAGCCATGTGCTTGTCCAGGTTCTGGAAGCAACTTCCAGCCACACAGCTGCACAAGCCTGGCCACCTTTGGCTCTGAGAGGTGCTGGGGGCAGAGGAAGGCTCCAGTGGACAGCAGGCTCAAGGAGATTGGCTTCATTCTGGCATAAGGGTAGGAACCAGCTTTCATCCACCTTTTCATCCAGATGAGCAAAATAACTGCAAAATGAAAAAAAGGTTTGAGTGAGGAACAATATCTGGGCAAAGTGACAAGGTGAGAGAAATGCTTACTGAATGTTTTCCTCTGCCACCTGTTCAGCATCACCTGTGTGCACAATCTTTGGTTGGGTTGTAGAGAGGGTGCTCAGTAAACAAGGTCCAAACTGCCAGGATGTTCGTTAAACCGTATTGACTGTATTCCATGATGTTAATTTAACTTTATGGGCTGTTTATTTGGTAAAATATTCAGTATTTCTTTCTGAGCATTTGATTTAGATCTGTGCTGTTTTGAATGGAAATTGCTTGTTTCCTATCTTGACTCCTAAAACTGGTTTAAATTACCATTTCAGACTGATCTGGTAATGTTACATTGCTGCTCTAGGTTAAAATAGTCCTAAAATTAAAAACAGAGGGTGGTGTTCTCCTGCTTCTGCAGTGCCTTCAGTGCCAGGCAGAAGGGAAGGAGGAGAGGTGGGACGTGTGTGAGAACTGGGTGTACTGGTGTGGGTACCAGCCTTCCTCTGGCTGGGGGCAAGAAAGCATTCTTGGGAGCACACATGGGGAAAGACTGCAGCTTCCAGACCGACTCCTGGAACGTCAGCTGGAAGTCTGGATTTAGCTCAGCCTGATGAGGTGATGGCAGCAGTGTCCCCTGTGCTGTTTGTGAGGGTGACCCAAAGCCTGTGGGGTCTGGCTGATCCATCTCCCTGTGCTGCTGCTCCCACTCATGGCAGCAGAGGGAGGAGAGGCTCCATCCTTTGGAGCAGTAACTGGCATCTAAATTGGATGCAGAGCAGTGCCTGGGCTGGGAGCAGTGTTGTCTCCAGCCAAAACTCTGTTAGCCATCCCAGGCTAACATGGCTGCCTCGGCTTAAATACCTCTTTTCTCAGGGAAACCATACACTTTTTTCCCATTTTTTCTATTTGGAACTGCATCAGCAGAGTTAAGGATGAGGCTGTTCTTTGCACAGTGTTTCTCAGGTGCTCCTGGCTGCAGCTTGGTCCTGTTACAGGGCTGTTCCCCAGCTGTAATGCCAAGTGCTGAATATTCATTCCTGTTTCTCTCCCTGGTAAGAAGAACCAGTTACAGCCTAAACCAAAGCAATTTTATACTAAAACTCTGTTTCTAACACCAAAGTGAGTCTTGAAAACTAACTCCTTCCTAGTAACAGAGGGAGAAGCAAAGGAAAGAGGAGCTGCTTTTAGAAAATAAAATTTTTGGGAGAGATGCTGAAAACATTTAGGCTTTTTCCTGAACCTTTCTCCAGGTGCAGAACCTTGCAGAAGAGGGGATTGGGGAGGGAAGTTACTTCTAAATACTTGAGGTAGTGAAATGCAGGGTCAGAGCTGAGATTTGAAATGCAGTAATGTTTTGTAGCATGTTAAGGATCTAGGCAAGCAGGGAAAAAATCTTTGTCTTTTTAATTCTAATATTTTTCCCCCCACAGGTATAGCCTTTACAGACCTCCCTGTAAGTACACCTATTTTCAGTATTTTAACTAAGAATGCAAACAGAAGGGAGGGGGAAGAGTGTGGGGGTGTGATTTTTTTTTTTTTTCTGTTTGATGCCCTGTTGGAAAAAACATGGTAACACAGATTACTGAATGATGTGAATGCTCCTTTTTCTGAAACTTTGTAATCCTGTGACTGGGTCTGTGGGCTACTCACATGCCTCCTCTCATCCCTCACCACCTCTAAGAATATGTTGTTCCTTCTCCTGAAATTAAAGCAAGGATGCAAACTTTATTACAGGTCATTGTCTTCCAAAAGCAGCTTGGACTCTGAGGAGGAGTGCATGTGCATAGTTACACTGATGTCTAGTCAGATCTCACAAAAGCACAGGGGGTCATGCACAAGAAAATGTTCCCTCTTTTCTAGACCCAAGTGTTCCTGGACAAGGAAGGTGTGTTCAGTGAAAAAAGGTAAAACCAGGTCAGGCATACACCAGCACATCCACTGCATCCATCTCTCATGCACAAGACTTCTGGTTCCTAAGGTTGCACTCTGTGCTTAATAACCCCAAATTAATTTCCTCTGACAAATTTCTTTGTTTCAATAACTTCTTTAGGCCTCCAGAGTGATCCATTTTCTTGGCTGACTTCCCTGTTGTGTGGAGGAAAGGTTGCTTTGCTTTGTTCTCTACTTCCTGTCAAAAAATTTATCTTGTTCCTCTAATTTTTGTATTGTGAGAAATAATGGCTAGCACTCTCTGTTCACCTTCCCAATGGGATTTAGGACTTTATAGATTTCTCCCATACTCCAGCTATGTCCTGCACCTAAATTGCAGTTATTTGATTGGCCCTTTCACATCAGGTGTCAATACACGGTGGGGTTTTTTTGGGGTTTTTTGTCCTAGGGTCTTTGAACTTGGTAACATTTCAGTGTGTTCTAAACCAGAAACTCTTTATGTGGGTTGTTTCACAGCACTTCATTCACTTGGTCTAAGTACAGTTTATAAAAGTACAAGAATAGTTTGCCTTTCCATGAAGATTAACCTTTTGGAGTGAAGTATTGTGATAACTTTGCATCCACAGCAAAAAGATGCTTCTCTCATGTGCCCCTTAGTTTTTGGTGCTGTTTGTTTTCCCTGTGGATACAGATTGCATCAGTAGTCACAGATTTACCATATTCCTTCTGATTTTTTCACCACTTTGTCTTCTCATTTGGCTAAACTGCTTCTCCTTCTGCAACAGGAGCAGTCTCCATGTTGAGACAGAGAATGGCTATTTAGGTTCCTGTCAATCAGAAATAGTTGTCCAGCACATGTACCATTGCTCTGTCATTTACAGCTCAAGTGTTGCCATGGAGCTTCACAGCACAGATTTGGCAGCTTGAAATTCCCTGTCCTGCTTAGCTTAACTTGCATCCTGTTGATCCTGGAGTGCACAGTGAGCTGACATAGACATTTAATGTTCGTGTTAAGCTGTTCATCTCTGTGCTGAGTCTCTGTCAGGCACAGAGGATGAGCAGCTGGGGAAGCAGAGCTGACAGAAAGGTGTTTGCTGCACTGAGGTTCTGCAGTGCCAGGGAGACTGAGCTCAAAACTCTCCTGAGCCCCTGGCATTGCCCTGTCCTGCTGTTCCTTGATGTGGTCTGATCATCCTCACAGGATCTCAGGCTTGTTTGTGTGTCTTGTGCAGAGGAGATGTTTTAGTGTGAAACTGGAGAAGATCTGGCCAGGGTAGGTTTGGGCAGATGCCTCGTGGTGGAATCTCCAGTGGTTAAAAGGTGTGTAAATGGTCTCTGTGCCTTTACCAGCCAGTTTGCTGAGCTGTTTTCTGGGGAAATCCACTTCTGGTTTTTACAGCAGCAGCTAATCCATAACACTGTTTTTCTGGGCCAGGAAGGAGAACAGCTGATGGCATGTAGGCCTCCTACTATTGAGAATTACTCTTCATGAGATAATTCCTCTATTAAAAGAGGAGGAGAGAAGCTTGGTGGGGTCCTTTCACCCCTTGACTGTGGATGGGAGCAAGGATAGGAGACTTCTGCCTCCAAGTGGATCTAGGACATCCCTCTGCATATGCTGAATTGCTCTGCAGCTCTGCTGGCAGCTTCATCCTAAGGATGCCTGCACCTGACTTCAGCATTCTCTTTTCCAATATCCTTCCCTTGGATTACTGCCTTCTTCCTTCATCCTTGCAGGTACCAGTGTATTCCATGTGCTCCTTTTGTCACCTTGGTCCATGGATTATTGGTTGTTCCAAACAGTTCAGGTTACCACCTTTCCTAAAGAAGGGGATGCCAAACCCAAGAAAGAATTTGGTTTGAATATGATGTATATTGTCAGAGACTGTAGAATTCTTGAGGCAGTAGAGAATATGAAGTTGATCACTTGCAGGTGATTTTTTTCATTTTTTTTAGTTCTCTGATCCAGGCACAAACACAATATCCAGTGATTATAAGGTAGAGAAGAGAAAGTATCCATTATAGGAAAGAATGGAATTTGGTCTGTGCTCTTCACCTGCTAAAGCTGCAGTTCTGAAAATTTAACTGCAAACAGGAGTGGGAACAGCAAACTTACCTGAGTGACCCTTGAAGTGCTCTGGTTTGAGCAGCTCCACATGGATTTTTTGGCTCTGATCCATTCCTCATTACTCACCCCCCCAGGAGGGCTTCAGGGGAGAATTTTTCCTTGCATTGCAGCCTAAAGGATGTTGAAGCTGACTGGTAACACACATCAGTGAGAAGCTTGGCCAATAAGTCCCATTACTTCTACACTTTTTAAGCTTAAATTTTAGGGTTGGCATATCAATGAGATTACAAGGAATTAAATTGGCCTTTGAAAACATTGCCAGATTTGAAATAATTTCCTTGAAATGCTTGTTCCAAAGTTCCCCTTTCAGAGGCAAATGGTGAAGGCAATATTTTGCAAAATTCACAATATTAGGAAGTTGAAATGGATACTTTAATTTGAAAACCAGAGACACACATGTTGAAACATACTTGCTTTGGCTTGTTTCAGTTTCCTCTAAAGGGTGTTTTCATTTGTACAAAAATACAGTGATAGGAAAAAACACATTTTGGTTTAGCACGGGCTGAAGTTAAATCCAAAATAACTGCTTGAAATAGGAGTGAATTCCCACAGAGGGAAAGAGGGAGTTTGGGAGTTTCCTTTTTCTTTCTTTCTTTCTTTTCTTTTTTTCCTTTTTTTTTTTTTTTTTCTTTTTTTGCCAGTTTGTCAGTACTCAGGCCCAACTCTTATTTACACAAGCCTGGATCGAGTCTATCGTGCCTGGAGGTTTGAAGGAATAATAGGAGATGAAAAACACCAGAAGAACCCAGGGTGGGATTGTAGGAGTACAAAGGAACAAGGGGGTTAAAAAACAGGTCAAGATGAACAAGGAGGTTGTGAGCAACTGGCAACCAACATCAGGGCAGGAGGTGGGCCAAATGTCACAGGGAAGGTGTTCCTGAAGAACTTGGCAGGAAAAGCATCTCCTGGGTCAGTGGGCTCTGGGATTGTGTCTGCCTGCATCTGGCAGGGTGCTGGAGTTGGAACTGTAGTTCCCAACAGCTGCTAAACAAAGAGGACACATCCCTCTGTGAAAAATGGAATTTTACCTCAAAGATGATTTGGGAGGTGTAGAGGGTAGGCAGCTTCTGCTCAAAGATGAACATAGCCAAAAGCGATTGAAAAATATATCTTGTAAATTGGGGTGGGTTTGCTTCCAATTTCCAAGTATTTTAGGTGTCTGATTCCCGGCTTTGGAAGCCCTTGGGTTTAAGATACTGAGAAGATAATAAAAAGTCTGAAGTATGGACTGTGGAAAATACCTGATCCCTCATTAGAGATATTTCCATATCAGCCAGTTTTGAAAGAATGGAGGGATTAAATGTAATTACAGCATTTTCCTCTGCTAGCTCTTCCTTTATCATGCTGTATTTACTTGCACATCTCTGACCTTGAGACTTCCTTGGTGTGGGGACAAGAAAGGAGGAGGTGTGGTGAATCACCAATATTGCAGTCATCCTGATCTCTTTTCAATTTCCAGCCTGTATTTATAGATTCATTTCACTCCTTTGTTTTTTGAGGTTTGATGATTTCAAAGGAAGAGGAGGTTGGTCAGGTTCTTACCCAGTTCAGTTTTGAAAATGAGAGCAGAGATGCTACAATCCCTCTTGGAACCCATTCCAGGCCTAAATTATCCCCATCTCTCAACAGTGAAGAATAAGTTGAAGAAAATTTCCAGATAATTGTAGGAAAGCCCATGTCTCTTGCTATAGAGGAGAGGATCATCCTTGGTTTCTGGCTGGACTTCAGGAGAGAGATCTGCCCCTCTGCTGTTCTAATACTGGTATGGGCTCAGCCCTGAGCAAAGCACTGCAGCCAGGCACTTCCAGACTTCAGTTCCATCCACGTGTCCCTGTGCCTTGCCCAGTGTGCAGTTCCTGGCTCCACTGTTTTAGAGCAAAGTGGAAAAAGCCCAGAATCAGACAGTTCCTGAGTGGCATGAGAGAGATTTCTTCCCCCACCCTGCAGACTCTCAGCACAGGCTGTGAAGCAGAATATTAGTGCAGTTTGTGTCTGTTTTGCAAACAGAAAAGTAATTTGTGCTGCACATTCACTTGACAGTGAATGGAACATGCTCTTGAAAAATGTAATCAGAGTGATGAGAACAAGGCACCCCCTGTACCTTTTCTGATGCTATTTCTCTTTTCCCAACATTTAAGTGGACTCAGGGTTTCCATTTATATCCATAAACTTATTCTTAAAATAACATGAATTCAGAGAACTTCTGATAGACTTTGAACACCTATTTTCAATTAGATCATCCTTAGAAGCTGAGTTATTGGCCGAATTTTAGAGGCACTTTCATGGTTGTAACCTTTTTATTTTCCTTTTCATGTTCTGGTGATGGGTCAAAGCTTCCATTTGGATCCATAAACTTATTCTTAAAATGAAATTCATCCATCAGTAGTGTAATTTCTTGTGTGAATGTCTTGGAATCATCAAAGACCTAAGCTCAGAGCTCCACCACTGTCTATTCCCTTTTCATCAGAGATGTACAATATTGAGATAACAGTTTCCAAGGAATGAGAGTTGAAACAGGAGGGAATACATAGATTGATTAACTCACCTTTCACTGATTAATTTTATTGTTATTGTTATGTATTTAATTACTGTCATTATTATATATTGCCATTACTGTTGTTGTTATATTGTCTGCTAGCTCTTGAAGCTTGGTGGAAATTGCAGAAAACTAAGCCAGAAGTGGCCATCCACAGACAGCAGTCATGGCCTCGATCACAGGCTGCTGGGATTGAACCCTTTGTTTTGGTTTGATGCAATAACTTCATAAATGAACAATAAGTCAAAGGATTCCTTGAGAAATACCCAAAGGGCTGTTGCCTCTTCCAATTCCATTATATTTATTTCAATGTAAAGAGCAGCTCTTTGGTTTTACCAAACCACATAACTGGAACACGAAGGAGAAAGCTGTGTTTAATACAGGTTTGTTTTTCTTCCTTCCCAGTCAAACCTCTACCCCACAGTGGGTCTCCAGACTCCAGGAGAGATCGTGGATGCCAACTTTGGGCAGCAACCCTTTGTGTTTGACATCGAGGACTACATGAGGGAGTGGAGGGCGAAGATCCAGAGCACCATTAAAAGGTTTCCCATAGGAGACAGGCTGGGAGAGTGGCAAGCCATGCTGCAGAAGTAAGTCACTGCCTTGGTGTTCAGCTTCTTCCCTTTTGTTAGGCTTTAAATACTTCTTAAGTGCTAATTTGTGCTCTCTTAAGGCAAAAATTGCCACTCTCTGCATTTTGCTGAACTTATTCTACTCTCCAATTGTTCTGTTGTTTAAGAGTCTTTCCTGTGTAGATTGCTGCTGTTTCAAATGTAAAAGATACAGGAGAAGTTTTCAGGCAAAGATTGCATGGAAGCTTGTAGGAATGGAAGAACATACATTCTGGGGTGATGCACTGCAGGAGGAGAGAAGACACCATAAGAGCTCTTAATATAGGAGAAAAGCCAGTATGCAAGTCAGCTGAATTCAGAAATGAAAGAGCAAGAAATAATCTAAACCAAAGGCTTCCAAACCTGAAGGCACAATTATGGCATTTTATAAATTTATGAATACTGAAAGCACTTCTCATTGCAAAAAGGATTGAGTGGACTTGATGAGAACAGTTGGCAGGAGTTGTCAGAGGTCAGGAGTGTTACTGATGCTGCTATTTGCCTTCCAAAATGGGACCAAATTAGAGAGCCAGGACCTCCCTTAACAAGAACTGTTGATTCTGCTGCAGTGGGACCAATTTATCCTTGTATTTGTTCCTTGTGCTCTCCAGAATTTTTTCTTCTGATGTACACAGTGGGGTTGTTAGGGTCACCACTCTGGAGTTCCTTCTGTTGAGCTCTTGGGCAGAAGCACTTGTATTTCAAACAACTTCTGAAAATTACACACCTGCAATGTACAATGTTGTGCCTAAAAATGATTGCTGACTCATAAAATATTTCTTTCTTGTACTGAAAGTTGAGAGTGTGCTGTGAGCTGTGACTTGATCAGATCAATGCCAGTGTCATCATGAGAAGCCTGTTTTGAGATTCATCGTGAGAAGCTTTGAAATCCTGATGCTGGCTTTTTAGATTTTGTTAAAATCCAGTGAGTGTTAACATTGAGTCATTGTGTCCTGTGGAAGGCACAAGTGCATTAGAAATGGTTTGTTCAGGAACATGGTTTTGTTGTGTTTGTTTTCTGACAGTCATACTCCTCCCTCCCCAAGATTTTTTGAAAACACAACTTCGAAGTGTGTTAACGTTTTTGAAATCAATGCTGACAGTCACCAGATTAAAGTATCTGTGAACATGCAGAATTCATAAGGAGATTGAACTACTAAAGATGTAATTGCTGGCAAATAAGTGATGGAAGAAATTCAGGACCAGAATCTTTTCTTCTTTTTTTTTTAGATCTGCTTGAAAGCCATGAACCTCTCTGAGGTTCAGTTTTATGTCTATATAGGATGTCACTGGCAGTAACCCAGTATTGAGCCCTTACAAGTGACCCCTGGACAACAGTCATAATACTGTATATGCATTGAGATTCTTAATATTTTAAGGGTTTTTTTCACTCTAAAGTGAATTTAGAGTCTCCTTCCTGTTTGCAGAGGACCAGGTGCTTGTCTTGTAAATACACACGGTTTAGACCCAGAAGTAGAACCTTGGTTATGTCCTAAGCAAGCTGAGTTTCTCACTGAAATTGCAACTTCTGTTGTGTTGATTTCTTTTTTCTCCAGTGTGATGACTCTGTTTCCCTGGTTCCTCATCATCTCTTTATATTTTTTCTTTTTTTCTAGTATGGTTTCATCATATTTGGTTCACCATGGCTACTGTTCAACAGCAACTGCCTTTGCCAGAGTCACAGACACCACAATCCAGGAAGAACAGACCTCAATAAAGAATAGACAAAGTAAGTCTCTCGAGTTTCATTCCTCAAGAGTGTTCCCTTTGGGACTCTGCAGAGGAGTGAGTGCTGTGGAAGTTACTCCATGAGAGTGCAGAGCTGTCCACAGCACACTGCTGACCATGGAGCAGAGCTCTGCAACCTCTGCTAGGAGCACTTTTCCCATCATCACTGCTCCCTCTCCATCCTCTGCCATCTTTGCCTGGAGAACTGCCCTGTTCCTTCCTGTCCCTGTCTGCTCTGCTTGGCCTTTACCTGAGCTGAGATCATTGTGCACCAGAGATCCCTTTGGATGTGAGCTCTTCACTGCAGGCTGCTGCAGCAGGGGCAGTTCCATTAGCCTGGGCACAGGGACTCAGACACATCCATTTGGTTTCACTGCAGCTCTGAGTTAAGGACTCTTCCAGCCCCTCTGCACATTGTAATTTCAGGTAACTTTTATATGCTGAGGGTTTTTCAAATTCACAGCCAACGTGTTAAGCTCACACTGGGTGAACAATTTGTATTCTGTGTCTTTTTTGGTTGCTGCTGTTTGCTCCCAAGTGGCTCATCTCTCAGTTGGCAGGGCAGTCAGCGCTTTTGGTCCTGCAGAATAAGGACTGCAGCTTTCTCCTGCTGTACCTTTTTTTTAGCTTTTCTATTCACAGGCTCAGCCTGCAGAGTGGCAGAACATTGGTGTGTTTTCTGCATTCTCCTGGCTGCTGAATACAGACCACATCCCTGTACATTTCCCTTCCCTTTGTGAGCTGTTTCTCGTGTGACTGTTACGTATCAGAGCATTGTGCCCTTTTGTGACTTGCTCTCCATACATTGCATGTGCTTAGCCAGCATTCGGGTTCATCTGGGGACTCTGCTCTTAAATAACTTGCAGTTGCTGCCTGTTAGTGCTGATGGCTTTGTGCTTTCCAGGTCATGCATTATGTAACCCTGACCCCAGCCAGTGTTCCCAGTGGTGTGGGTTTCTCTGGCAGAGCCTGGCGGGCGGCACACGAGAGGGTGCGGGCTCATTTGTCTGGGGACAGGTGACAAGGCAGATGGAGGGAAGGAATACAGAGCCCTGAAGTTGGGGCTGGAATAAAAGGTGTGAGGAAAACACAGATGGGAAAACAAAAAGAGGGGGAAATAGAAAAGGGAATGACATCTGTGAGAGTTGCCAAACAAGGCAAAGCAGAGCTGTCAGAAGCAGCGAGACAAGAAAATGGACGTGCAAGAGAGTGAAATGAGAGCTCTTGTGTTGGTGTGAGAGCCACGGTTTTGGTTCCAGATTTCAACTACAATAACAACCAGATAGACACTGAGAGGTGGGAGACAAGTCATTGCAGTTTGTTACTGGGATTGTTAATGAAGATTTACCAGGCTGGGCTTCCAACTGCTCCAACATTTTGAGAAAGCCACAGCCATTTGTTATCAAAGGCCCTGCTTTCAAAACACCTCACAGGCCATTCCAGACCTTCCCTCTGCTGTTTATAAGGAGTGCTGGAAAAACAATGCAGTTTTAGTTTTAAGTACATTTAATTTTTATCTGTAAGTACACTTAGAAAAAAGAAATGAGTCACTGTAGATCAGCAGCTTCTCTAAGCTTTCAGGGATCTCAAGTTGAGTCTTGCACTTGTGTCTTCTGACCTGTTGAAAGAACATACATGGGACATGAACACCCAACATGATAAGTGTCTTCTGCCTTGTGTCTTTGCTCCTTCTAGAAGTGTTCAAGTCATTGAACATTGAGCTGTTTCTAGTGTAGTCAATAGCTGGTACTTCTCTGGGAATACATTGAGGTGGACTTGCAGGAACATAGTTTTGTGATGTAATTACTTCTGCTTAGTGCTAGGAATGTTGTGGAAGCAGTACTGTGCTGTGGTTAAGACCACAGACCCTCTAAGAATACTCCATTTATCTCATACTGAGCCATATGTTTGCTTCCAAGCTTGAACCAGACAGAGAATGTAATATGAGGGTGACCTAGGAAGTTGCCCTCCAAAATTGTCACTTCCCTAGCAGCCTCTTTGTTTCCATCCAGCTGGCATGTCCTGCTTTTGTTTCCATTGCTGCAGAGTTCTGTGACTGAAGGACTAAAGTCTCAACCTACCTACTTCATCCTTCAGATCCATCTACTCTTGGTGGTTTTTTGCTACTAAAAGATCCTTAGGGTTTTCCTCACCCTAATCCATAATAAACCAAATATGGTCTCCAGTTCTCTCACGCCCTTGTGAAGGTGGTAGTGGGGATCTGGGTGGAATGGATGAGACAGCCCTTTTGGCTGTTCCTGTGTGTCACTAGGTCTCCTTTTGCTTTCAGGAATACAGAAGCTAGTATTAGCAGGCAGAGTGGGAGAGGCTATAGAAGCCACCCAGCAGCTCTATCCTGGCCTCCTAGAACATAACCCCAACCTGCTCTTCATGTTAAAGTAAGTATGAAAAGCTTTATGCTCACTAATGCTGAAATGTGTAAATGAAGGAGGGAAGAAGAACCTGTCCAAACTTCCAGTCTGGCTGCACACCTTGCTCTGAATTCAGACTGTTTAGGCTCTTTTTGAGAGTCCTTTGCACAGTGCTTGTAGTATTGTAGATGTAGCCCTTTTGTTGCTGCTCAAACCCAGTATAGCTTTGCCTCATGAGGTCAGGCATAGGTGGGTGAATTTTAATTCTGCTGACTGCCAGGAATTCCTTCAAAGGAGTTTCTTTACTGGTCTTGTGGAGATCTCACAGTGCTGGAGCAGTCTCAGTCACTGTGAAGGTTCCTAGAAAGACAGATTTATGGAAAAGGCTGTCTGGGGTGGAGATTAAAGGAAAAAGTGTCCCAGTTCTCCCAGCAGTACAGAGTGGCTCTCCCCAGACTTCTGAGACATATGAGGACAATTCCCAGTAAAGCTAAATGAGGAGCTGTCCTCACTGTCACTGTGGATACTGCATTTTTTACTCTTCCTTCTCTATTTTCCATTGGCCACCAGTATTTTTAGGTTGATGGAGTAGTGAAGAAATGATGATATTTGACAGATTTAGTACCTTCTCCCTGAAAAAAACCCTCCACAGTTGAATTTTGGAGTACCTGCAGAAGCGCTGGAGGTGAAAGCTGCAAAGGAACAGTTTTTTGCTTAGCACAGTAGAATTAAACTTGCTTTTTTTGGGAATGGTCTCAACAACCATTAGCATCAAAGGTGAAGTTTCTGAACTCCTTCTTCTGTAGCATCATCAGAGCACTCACAATACAAAGGCATCAGGAGTCTGAAATGTCTTTTTGGAAGTTTCTAGGGCTTGCCCAGGTGGGATCTAAGTGCAGAGCATGCTGGCTGTCACGCCCCCTTTGTCCCTCTTGCCTCCCATGAGCGCAGGTGCCGGCAGTTTGTGGAGATGGTGAACGGCACGGACAGCGAAGTGCGGTGCTTCAGCGCCCGCAGCCCCAGATCCCAGGACAGCTACCCCGGCTCCCCCAGCTTAAGTCCTAGACATGGATCAAGCAACTCACACGTTCACAGTACTGGTAAGTGTGTCCTGTGTCTCCAGATGGCAAAAGTGGATATAGTGGTGTTTACCATTACCTGCTGCTTTCCACGTGTTACTCTCTGAAATATTCCTTTCCTTCCCCAGCTGAGGGGATGTATTTTTACCACGGGTGTCTCTACACTGTCACAGAATTGGTTTTGCATTAGTTATTTTCTACAATTGTCTGTAGAACAGGTTTATTTCAGAATAAAGAAGCTTTTGAAGGCAGTCTTCTACTGCAGCCATCTGTGACTCAGTGTTTCACTGAGAGGAGGTCTGGAAAGCAAAGCCTGTTTTCTGTACCTTGAAGTCTTCAAAATAATTACTTTCCAGAAAGAACTGAGCAGAAGCTGCTTTGCTAATGGAGCAAAAGGTCAGGGAGATGCATTGCACAAAAGCTTCTCTCTACCCCATGGACTTTACCTTGCAAGCTCTAAACATGTGAGAAGGGAACAGTTCTGTTCCAGTAAAACCCAGCTCTGGAGCATCAACTCTTCAGAGTCTGGGAAATGAAGCTTTAGGTTTTGAAGTGGAAAGAACAAGATAAATGAGGACACCTGAGATATCTCCCCTAGGTAATTACTGAGTGCAGCTTTGGAGATGGAGTGAGCCAGGAAAAATGACCTGCAGAGCCCTTGGGAGCAGGCTGAGCTGCTTCACTGAGCTGTGAGCTGCTCACAGCCATCTGAGTGTGTTTTGGGTTGGTATTCCCACTGCTGCATGTGACAAACTGTGGACAGGCAAATATTTAAGGAAAACACAATTACTTGAATACTTCCAAGCTGTCACTCACCTTTCCAAGCTAGTATCTTTGTTTTCCTCTGCTGTGTTGTGAGAAGCTCTGGGGGTGTTTCATTGACTAGATAGGCAGAATGATCCCATCAGTCCATAAAAGCTCTTGGTAATACCCATGTTTACATCTGTAACTGCAGTGCAAGGCAGCATTTATATATATTTATCTCTACACATGGACATCACCTTCCACAGTTCTCTGTCAGACCTTGTTCTTTCAAAAGAGTGGTAATTTCATCAGAGCATATTTCAGAGATGAAGCAGAACTGTTGTGAAGAGGTTATTCTGTCTTTGTTTTAAAAACACACAAAACAACCCATTTGAATCTTTGTGTTGCTGTGATAGAAAATAAAAATGTATCTCCTGCTATGAACACAATTGTGGGATCAGCTGATCAATTTGGATATATCACCATCACTTCTGGAGAGCAGGTATGCCAGGTCACATCATTTAGCCAAGGTCCTGTGATCATTATTGGCTGCCAAGGGAAGAATGTATGAAGACAACAAGCCCGTAATGAGGTTCTTCCAAAATATTTTAGTCACTGTCAATTCTGAGTCCATGTAAAACTTGTGGTAATGAATAAACATTTGTGTCTTGTGTCAGTGTGTTCTGCAGCTTTTGTGGAGGAGCAGGTGAAATTTCAAGCCTGACTCTCAGTGGTTTCTGCTCTCCTGAACAAGGAAGGTTAGCTTGTGCTCATTAAGAGGGTTGCTGTTATTTGCTGAGTGTTCTGTGAATCACGAACATCCCTAACTGTAGATAGGTTGTGGAAAGCCTGGGCAGTTCTGCTTTCAACAGTAATTTCTGTACTTGTGAAATATTTCTGTGTGTTTTCAGTCTCTAATTTACAGCCCATTTTTAGAACTTCATGGAGCTCAGATGTTGCTGGTGAGCAGTGGGGTTCCTTTCATATTAATTTGTGTCTTCCCTAAACCCCATTGAATTTAAGAATGATGAAACATAATTTAAGATCTGCAGTCTTATTTTGCTTTCTTTCTTTGGGGCCTGCTGTCTTGCTAAATCGTTGGCTTCACAACAGTGACATTGTCAGTCTGGTCTCATTTTTCTTTCTTCTTGGCTTTCAGGAGCAGATAGTCCAACCTGTAGCAATGGAGTCATGTCCACAAAAAGCAAACAGAGTCACAGTAAATACCCAGCACTGAGTTCATCATCTTCATCTTCCTCCTCCTCTTCCCCTTCATCTGTGAACTACTCTGAGTCCAATTCTACAGATTCTACCAAATCTCAGCAGCACAGTAGTACGAGTAATCAAGAAACCAGGTATTGTTTTTCCTCTGGAGACACCTGAGGGGGAGTGGGAGGTGGGAAACGTCTCACTCTGCTCTCTAAGGAGCCAGAAGGGCATCTGTTTGCCCAGAAGCTTTCCCAGTCAGCCTGGTGGTGTTTCTGCTGCCTCAGCCAGGCACTTGTTCCTGCTGAGCAGCCTTCCTGCCCTGTACTGGGTGAGGCAGCAGCTCAGGCCAATACTGGCTTGCTGTATTGCCCTCTTGTGTAATTTCCTTGGGCTGTTGCCCTGTTCGTTCCAGGTGTGCCTCTGAGCCAGCAGTAATTTGTTCCATGCTGTGACAGCAGGTCAGGCTGAGTCTCCCTTGTGCAAGAAGCCACAGGTGGTGGCAGCAGTTCAGTGCAGCCACTGCTGCCTTTTCTGGAGTGTGGAGCAGAGTGAGCTGTGGTGAAAACTGAGCTTCCTTTGGGCTCACTCTCCACACTGCTGTTGCAGGGCTGTTTGAGGCCTCAGTGGAGCAGAGGGTGTCATTGTGATTAAAATAATCTCTTGCTAATTGCAGCTGGCACTCATTCTTCAAGTGCAGTGCTGAGCACGGCTTGCAGGGCAGTTCGCAGGCTCAGTTGTGACCTCTGGAGGGCCACCTAGCCTGTAACTGAGTGAGAAACACTTGTTCAGACTCAATTTACCAGAATCATTTAATGATACTGGATTTGTCATTATTTTTTTTTTTTAAATGTAGAGCCTAAGTTCCAATAAGATCTTCTCGTATTTTCAGTTAATCATAGTTAATCAGCAGTATCAGTCAGCCTGCTGTCTTGGACATTTAAGTGTTCAGTAGTGCACTGTTTGCAAGGAGTGAGGATGTATCATAGCCAAGTTCTCCCTCCTGTGCAGTCTTTGAGTGTGTTATCTGTTACCTGACTGTTTACTATCTCAAGGATCAGCACTTCCTGAAGGGAAAATGCAAAATATTCTGCACCTGGAATTATGACAGGCATTCAGGGAACAGAAATTTGTTTCATAAATTGTCTTCAGAAGCCTGCAACAATTTTTCCTGCACTAACTTGGACCATCTGGCTCCCTGTAGTCGAACTGGCACCTTTTCTGGTGTGCTGGCCATTGCTGGGCACTGTTTGGCACATAAGCTCTTCATTTCTTCCCTGAATTTAGACATCTGACCTTTCTTCCCTCCCTTCACCTCAGTGACAGCGAGATGGAAATGGAGGCTGAGCATTACCCCAACGGAGTGCTGGAAAATTCATCCACCAGGATAATGAATGGCACCTACAAACACGAAGAGATCCTGCAGACAGATGAGTCCAGCATGGGTAGGTCCTCAGAGGCTGGAGGGGTAAGGGGAAATAGGAGCTGGTGTCAGGAGTTAAAACTGTGATTGGATTGTGGGGAAAAAGCATGTGCTTTGGGCTGCTTTCCCCACCCAGTGTATGAAGTGCCTGCTTCATGGGGAAAATTAATCTGTCCTGAAACTCAAACTAGGACTGGCTTTTCATAGACTTACAGACTGGTCATATTTTGGAGCAGGGAAAGCAATAGGAGTCAAAGGTTTGTTCCATGCTGATCATGAAATTGAGCTCAGAGCAGACCTGTCAGAAATGCCTGCTGGGGAGCTGAGACTGAAACTGATGGATCCAGTTATAATTGGATATATATTTAATGGCTCTTGTGGCCACTACTACTGGGAAGCTGGTGTGTGGGTATCTCTGACTGAAAGTTTTCTGAGTCTAGGATTTGTTAGACCAGAGGTTTCTGGGTTATATATATTGTGTTACACACATGAAAGGGTGACAGATTGGAGTTGCAAGCTCCCAGGATTTTATCAGGATTTCTAGGTAGTCCTCAGGCAATAAACAGAGCTCAAATCTTCCCTGTATCTATGGGCACTATAACAAACTCACTACTGGCTGTTGTAGGGCAGGGATCACAGAAAGCTTCCACTGGGATAAACTTAGGACAGGAAGCAGCTTCCTGTTCCAGAAGGGAGTCTGTGGATATCCTGACACACAGTGGGCACTGGTGGGGAATGCAAGATGATTGTTCCTTCTCCACTGCTTCTCCTTAGAAGACAGCTGCCCCCAGAGGCAGCTCTGTGGAGGGAACCACGCTGCCACAGAGAGAATGATCCAGTTTGGACGGGAGCTGCAGATCCTGAGCGAGCAACTTTGCAGAGAGTATGGGAAGAACACCATGCACAAAAAGATGCTTCAGGTAAGCCTGGGCCTCGTGCTGCATTGCAGCAGTTCTCTGGGTCAGGTCTGGGGTTGTGGGTTCCCTTGTAGACACCTGGGTAGCCCCCACTTCTGCACCTGCTGAGCAAGAAGGGTCCTGCGTGGGGATCAGAGATCAAAACACGAATGCAGAACATCCACACCCAATTCTCAGCACAAGAGAGAAGAAATACAGCTCCTGCCTAGCTTCCTGGAGCAACTGCATGCTCTTCTTCTCTGCAGGTGACACTCTACCTGCCTTCCTGTGCTGGCTTCCCTGCCAGGTGGAGGGGACACCCTCTTTAACCTTCTATCTTGATGGGCCACTGTAGTCCCTTGCTGCCAAGAAGAAAAGGGCCATTTCTTTTCAGGAGGTAGGCACCTGTCACTGTGGTGATTGCAGGAGGTGCCCCAGCTGGACTTGGTGCTTTTCCTGTGTGTTTGCAGCCCTGCCTGGTCTCACTGTGCCTTTCTGTTCTCTCTCAGGATGCCTTTAGCTTGTTAGCTTACTCAGACCCTTGGAACTGCCCTGTCGGCCAACAGCTGGACCCAATCCAGAGGGAACCTGTGTGTGCTGCTCTCAATAGTGCTATTTTGGGTAAGATCTGGTTCCTGTGGGAGTGTTTCACCTGCTCCCAAGGGCTGTCCTGTGGCAGGCAAGCCTGTGAGTGTTAGGGAAAGTTCAGAAATAGTTGTGTTTAGCTTTTGTCTTTCTTTCTGTTGCTGGGGACTGTCAGGGCAGTAATACAGGAAGGAGGGTAGGAGGGAATTCTGCAGAGAACAGATCCCCTGATACATTCCCATTTTGACTCCCTTCCTTGCATCTTCCTCAATGCTGCTCCCAAGGATGTGCCTCAGGATTTTCCTCTCCTGCTTACTGAAGAAACCAAGATCTCTTTGATAGATTTCCCACCCCTCTCCCTTCATGCTCTGAACCCGCCTGAATAATTTTGTGGACTTTACCACATTTGTATGGATTAGCAGAGTTCAGCCCTGGTATCATCCTGTTTTTTAGGAGAGAATGCACAGTCTGTCTCACTGTGCCCAGGCAGATTTCCTATAGGGTCCGTGCATCTCACACTGAATGTTCCAGAAGGAGTTTTAGACCTTGCCT